TAACCGCCCTAACAGGTGAGAAGGGGTCATGTCAATCTGGGTGCTGTAGCAGGTGTACTTCTACAATGTTGACCAGTACTGATATAGTTCCTGGAGACATGTAGATTTGTCATACATAAGGCTTCACTATTCCTGATTTGTTAGTCTATAAATATATTACAGTATTTTTGGAATGAAGCAAAGTCAAGAAGTCTAAATTAATTCCAAAGAATAGACATGAAAATTGTGTAAAACTCTAAAAATATCATTTATTACAGTAGATGTATACATGTCACCACAATGGTGAATTTGTGCAGTATTAAGATAATCACAACAATCAGTTTCTAAACATGCTTGGGTATAAACAATACAGAATATAGAGAGAGGAATCCAGAATCATTTGTTTGTGATAGATGATGTAAGTAAGTCTACCCTGTCACTACTTTTATCATTATCTGAGATGATGTAAGTCTACCCTGTCACTACTTTATCATTATCTGAGACGATGTAAGTCTACCCTGTCACTACTTTATCGTTATCTGAGACGATGTAAGTCTACCCTGTCACTACTTTATCGTTATCTGAGACGATGTAAGTCTACCCTGTCACTACTTTATCGTTATCTGAGACGATGTAAGTCTACCCTGTCACTACTTTATCGTTATCTGAGACGATGATGTCACTACTTTATCGTTATCTGAGACGATGTAAGTCTACCCTGTCACTACTTTATCGTTATCTGAGACGATGTAAGTCTACCCTGTCACTACTTTATCGTTATCTGAGACGATGTAAGTCTACCCTGTCACTACTTTATCGTTATCTGAGACGATGTAAGTCTACCCTGTCACTACTTTATCGTTATCTGAGACGATGTAAGTCTACCCTGTCACTACTTTATCGTTATCTGAGACGATGTAAGTCTACCCTGTCACTATTTTATCGTTATCTGAGACGATGTAAGTCTACCCTGTCACTACTTTATCGTTATCTGAGATGATGTAAGTCTACCCTGTCACTACTTTATCGTTATCTGAGATGACACAAAGCTTGATGTTTTTGTTATATTGTTGATTTGAAACTGTAAATAAGCAAGGTTATTGTTATATTTGAATTCATGAATAAATCCTATTACATTGCTCACATTATACAGTATATTTCTTTTTATTATAATGTATTACATTGTATGTTATGATATGTCATTTGATAATACATTTGTACATTGTATTACATTGTATGTTATGATATGTCATGTGATAATACATTTGTACATTGTATTACATTGTATGTTATGATATGTCATGTGATAATACATTTCTACATTGTATTACATTGTATGTTATTACATTGTATGTTATGATATGTCATTTGATAATACATTTGTACATTGTATTACATTGTATGTTATGATATGTCATTTGATAATACATTTGTACATTGTATTACATTGTATGTTATGTGTAACATTGTTATAATGTGTAATATTGTATGAAAGCTTGTTTTGTATATGTTTTAAGGATGGATGATATGTGGATATGTGTTATATATGATATATTTTTAATTAATTAAATTGTTGATGCTTGATGTGATCAAAACATTCCACTACAATGTCATTTCGTCTTTCAGTTTTACTTTGCAAATGTAAAAATATTTTTGATATATAATTGTAAGAGAGGAATTATTCCGATTATTCTCTGCATGTGATATCAGCTAATATGATAGTGATATTCAGGTTAACATTTTTTTTTGACAAACTCAAGACATGGTTTTAACAAGGACACTAGACACTTTTCAGTGTTGCTCACAATATTTGGTTTTTTAAGTAAAAACCTTTGTTCTGTTGTTTGTGATGTATGCTGTAGATAGAAATGATAATAGACTGAGAACAATTCCTTACTGGAAACAAAAAGAAAATAAAAAAATAATATTAATTATAAAAATGGCCACCTTCAGCCAGATGTATTTCATTTCTACATACATCAGTGGTTAAACTGACCTTTTCATTCAACTGATCTTGGGTGCATGGTATTTACATGTCACTCCTATATCAGATGTATAAATACAGTGTGGACATACCCAGTAGCTGATAATACATGGACCACATGCTCATGTGTTATTTTCTTTACTCAATTCACAGGACAGCTAACTTGTACATATATACATAGACTTTACCCACTCATAAAAGGTTGACTACAGAGCAGACATCAATTGCACACAACATAGTTCCAATAGGTCATTCAAGTAGTATACTAGATCAGTATGGACTTACTTAAGCCATAGATTTGTTTAATTAACAGTATACTGCTTTTGTGGTCTGTATGATACACCCTACCAACAAATACAACAAATAAAGTCAGACTTATAAAACTGGTGTCCCTCTTATGTTCTTTCCTTCTTTTTTGTTTTTTGTTTTGTTTTTTACTCAAAGAAAAACTTTCACAATGTGTTGACTTTGTGAAATGTTCCTTTGTGCTTGAAATTGGAAATTGAAAGAAAGACCAGTGAGATTTGAGCAAGTGGTATGAAAACTAGAATTGTTTTCAAACAAACTGTTTTACATTTTAAATTCATTCTTTTAAAAGATTTTTTTTTTATTTTATTTTCATGCATTTTTGTTTTTATGTTTGATTGTAGTTTGTTTGGGGTTTTGAACGCAGCGTGAATATACTAAATAAGTGATTGACGTATTCCATGTATAATGTCTTAGTGGCTCTGATTTTGCCATGTTGAAGATTTTCTCACATTAAATCTATTGTCAATCGTAAAAATACAGAAACGAGGAGCAGATTACTGCATGAATGAAGTGACACCTCCTGTTGTATGTATATTCATCGTTTGTTTTGTAGGTCTTGGTCTGTCCTTATAATACAGCTATTGTTACGGTCAGATTCTATTTGGGACAATCTGCATAGTTCCTACAATAGATGTACCCGGTACACAATTATATTCAATGATAGAAAACTGAAAACTATTTTGTTTGGACTATTTATTGCAGAATAATTACTGTAAAATGTCATTAATTGTCGAGAGTGTTTCATATTGATTTCAAAATATTTTTATAATAAATAAAATGATATTTAAACCATTGATGTGTAATTTTATTATTTACTTAAATTCTGCGAGAGTAAGTGATTTAGTTTTTACTTTTCTTATGTTAACTTTGTAAGAGACAGGATATACAGTAAAGCAATCAGTAGGTGTGTTTGTAGCAAAAAGCTTGTGTATACCATATATCTCCCGTGTGAACACCTCAACAGATTTAGTTCAAATTTACATCTGAGTATCGTAACTTTAAGATCTATGTTGGGTAAGTAGAAGTCAACCTCAACAAGCCAAGGTTCATCAATTCATTTATTGGTCGACTGGTTATGCCCTCATTTGGGCTTCTTCAGGACACATATCAAACACAGTTTTACCTTTAAAGTACTAAAAATAAGGATTTCCATTAAAGAAAGATAACTCTAGTTCTATCCCAATAACTTGATTAAGAAATATTTATGAAGTTATATAAATAATGTTCATCTCTTTCTGTTATCAAACATTCTGTGTGATAGGCTAACACACACAAACATCACTGCGCCACAGCATCAGCCATTAGAGACCAGGCTAACACAAACAAACATCACTGCGTCACAGCATCAGCCATTAGAGACCAGGCTAACACACACAAACATCACTGCGTCACAGCATCAGCCATTAGAGACCAGGCTAACACAAACAAACATCACTGCACCACAGCATCAGCCATTAGAGACCAGGCTAACACAAACAAACATCACTGCGTCACAGCATCAGCCATTAGAGACCAGGCTAACACACACAAACATCACTGCGTCACAGCATCAGCCATTAGAGACTAGGCTTACACAGACAAACATCACTGCGACGCCACAGCATCAGCCATTAGAGACTAGGCTTACACAAACAAACATCACTGCGTCACAGCATCAGCCATTAGAGACCAGGCTAACACAAACAAACATCACTGCGTCACAGCATCAGCCATTAGAGACCAGGCTTACACAGACAAACATCACTGCGACGCCACAGCATCAGCCATTAGAGACCAGGCTAACACACACAAACATCACTGCGTCACAGCATCAGCCATTAGAGACCAGGCTAACACACACAAACATCACTGCGTCACAGCATCAGCCATTAGAGACTAGGCTAACACAAACAAAACATCACTGCGTCACAGCATCAGCCATTAGAGACCAGGCTAACACACACAAACATCACTGCGTCACAGCATCAGCCATTAGAGACCAGGCTAACACACATAAACAAACATCACTGCTAACACACACCACAGCATCAGCCATTAGAGACCAGGCTAACACACACAAACATCACTGCGTCACAGCATCAGCCATTAGAGACCAGGCTAACACAAACAAACATCACTGCGTCACAGCATCAGCCATTAGAGACCAGGCTTACACAGACAAACATCACTGCGTCACAGCATCAGCCATTAGAGACCAGGCTAACACAAACAAACATCACTGCGTCACAGCATCAGCCATTAGAGACCAGGCTAACACAAACAAACATCACTGCGTCACAGCATCAGCCATTAGAGACTAGGCTAACACAAACAAACATCACTGCGTCACAGCATCAGCCATTAGAGACCAGGCTAACACAAACAAACATCACTGCGTCACAGCATCAGCCATTAGAGACCAGGCTAACACAAACAAACATCACTGCGTCACAGCATCAGCCATTAGAGACCAGGCTAACACACACAAACATCACTGCGTCACAGCATCAGCCATTAGAGACCAGGCTAACATAAACAAACATCACTGCGTCACAGCATCAGCCATTAGAGACCAGGCTAACATAAACAAACATCACTGCACCACAGCATCAGCCATTAGAGACCAGGCTAACATAAACAAACATCACTGCACCACAGCATCAGCCATTAGAGACCAGGCTAACATAAACAAACATCACTGCACCACAGCATCAGCCATTTGAGACCAGGCTAACATAAACAAACACAGTTCAATACTTGGATCATTTGTATTTACTACAAAAACTGTTTTTTTATCACATGACAGTATAAATGAATGTGAACCAAACAAACTTACAGGAAGGTAACGGTGGTAGACTGTGGAAATATAATAACATGATTGCACATACAATGAAATGATAACCAACATAATATATAAGTACCACAAGCACAAACAACACCAAACTAGAACAGCCTGAAGTAAATGTTTGTATACAAAGTTTATTACACAGGAACAAATTGAAATACTTTAATTGGAATCAATACAATTGATGCATTTGATTAACAACTATAAAAACTTAAAATATCACCACAAATAAATATCATTTTAAGTCTACAAAATTCAATGTACATAAAGCTTACCCTATCACAATCTTACCCAAATATCCTTGATATATGAAGTCCTTTGTCTTACATGCCGTCCTGTTTACAGCCAAATTATTATGACCCTAGATGTATCTTGACACATTGATAACGTGTGTACAGATATACCCTTTACAACAACTGATATGAAGGGTAAAACATTCCAAGGTTGGAATTGTGATGTGTTCAGATAAACTATATAAGCTTCCATAAAGAATGTTCATGATGAATGACCAGAATAGTGTAATGCAACAACAACAAAAATATCAAAAACATCAGCACAGAATGAAGTAATATGAATACTATTGGTAACATCTTCCGTCAATATATTGCCGGTGTGATTACCCGTGTAAGAGTTATCTCCCTTGGTGACACCTCCATTCAGATCATTATATATTATTTCAGAAATATTTCTGTATGAAGAAAATAATACATGTGATACAAATAAAAAGATATAACATAAAACATTCATTTGCTGTTTTTTTGCTACTGATATGAGCAGAAAATCCTAATTATCTCCACCAGATAATACACACATACAGTGTAATTCAAATGCGCTAGGCAGTGGGTACAATACAAAAAATAACATAGTTTTATTGAAAACAAAATCCAAACATTTTGTAACAGCAATTACAATAATGTCATTATAAAAAAGTATCAATGTCCTACTTTGTTACAAGATTAAAATATACCATTGCAACTACATATTAGCCTGGTCATGGGAATAAAAAGTAAGTTTTCTTGTATGACGTACTAAGAACTGAATCCAGAAAACAAGATATAGATATGCTTGTACAAGCTGATGGACTTTTGGGTAAGGGATCAAAAAATAATTATCTAAATCACTACGCCAGCTTTCCATGGAGAATGAGACAGGATAACATTTTGAAACAATTACCCAATATTTCAAGCACTAATTAAGAAGATTACTTGATGAATTACAGTTCCCTACTGACACACTGTCTCACCAAAATGAACCAGTAACCAAAGTATCAAGTTCTAGTCACATGTAATGTAGAAGGGCTTGGACAAGATAGCAAATGATAAATGAGCCAAGAAAAAAAGTCCCCAACGCTTTCATTACTAAAGTTGACCTAACAAACTAATGTCACCTATAATAAATAGGAAGCACCTCCCACGTACCCAGTATCATTGGAATGATATCAAGTCTTCTGTCAATTATTATTTCAACTTCCAATAAGCTTTATGTAATAAAAAGGCTAAAGATCAATTTTATCAAGACATTGTCATAGTACTTTGAAGGTAAATAAGTAAAGGATAGACAGCTTTCTGACATCAAAGACACATAAAAATAGTTTTATACTATTAAACGGAAATTTTCAGAAAATACTTTAAACAGCAAACATGTTTAATGAAAGGAATACACAGCTTAAAAAACTGAAGGAGTAGTCATGAAAAGAAATAGAAACGTTGTCTTTATTAAGCATTGTCCTTGATTTTTTTAAAACTATATATATGTATGCTTAAGATACAACAGGGCCTGGTTGTTCAAAGGCTACAAATAAAAAAAGAGGAAACATTCTTTATCATTTCACAGCTTCAGATTTGTCAAGACAGGTCAGACTGATATATTTTGTGGAAACTCTGAACTAAATATTGAACAACCAGGGCCAGATGTTTAACATGTTGTAGAAGATAGAAGGATGTTACATGGCACTAGAATGTCAATATAATATATGATAGATATTACATTGCACATTATCAGACACACCAGACAGGACCCTGGGGCCTTTTCTTATCAATCACCTGTGAGCACTATATAATAATTATCAAGAACAGTTTTAGCCATTTAATCACCCTTCTTTATGTATTTTTTTACTTGACAAAAAGTTAAAGTGAAACAATTTCCTTTTTGTTTGAAAATACAAATAACCAGCACTGATGAAATAAGCCATTAACTTCCTAGCAACACTCATATATTCACCCATAAAAACAATACATATTTTCACATACCTCTACTACATTTTTTTTATCTAACTTTATCACCCTCTGTTGATGATAATTAATGTCAGTTTAAATATACCAATTAAGAATCTCACAAACACAAATGACAGCTACATGATTACACAGATTTCATTTATGTAAAATCCTTCTCATCTGTCTGTTCTGATCGTCGACTTTCACATTCACTTTGTCCACTTTAGGAGTAATACGATCAATCTGATCATTCTGACGTGAAATTTCGTCTCCAAGTCCCAAAGCAAGATCCCTTAAGCGACTCATCCCGTCAGACATCAGTGCTAAAATTATAAATAGTTCATGACCAGAATACCACAAAATTAAAATCATAGATAGTTCATGATCAGAATACCACGAAATTTTAAAAAACAAACGACTCATCCCGTCAGACATCAGAGCTAAAATTATAAATAGTGCATGATCAGAATACCACAATTTTTTTTTTCAAATCAAAAGTATCTTTTTATGTTTCAGAATTTACAAAGAAACAGACAATAACTGAATAAAACTATCAAAATTTTTATCTTCATTTACATTGTATTTGCATTGGGTAAATGTAGAATCATTTGATCTTTGACCTGTACAGTAACCAATTATGGACAAACATGGAAATGGAAAATTTCAGTTCTCATAAAAAACAAAATCAAAACTATGTAGAACATGATAGTGTTTGTGAAACATAAATCACTTTTCCATCTATTTATTTTTTAAAGAAATTTGAGATATGTATCTTTGCTTCTGAACTTTGTAATGCTTTTGCTTGACTCCATTCTAAAACCAAACTCTTAAAATCAAATGTGAAACACAGGGTATTAGGACAGTAATAGAGGGTGACACCGTTACGCTACAAAGCCTTCTTTAAGAAAAACACATTGTAAGATATATACCTCAGAATATTTAAAAGTTTTGCATTGTTCATATTTGTAATATTACTTGATTTTGATTATACTCTTATATCATAATGGGATAAGACAAGTTCCCATTAAAGTGTAGGTGTCAACTACCTGTATTAAATGCCAAATCTTAATTACCCCACATACCCTTCTATTCCCCATCAAAGTGTAACAGCCCACTGTCTATATTTGGCCTCACCCCTAAGCCCCTTTGGGTCAGCCGAAATCAACATGTGCATCATGTCAAACTGTCATTTTAAACTTATAATTGAAACCATGTCCTTTATAAACTATAGTAAAATTTCATCCTCTCCCCATGGGGAAATGTGAGACCCTGGTAAAGCATTTAAATACCTTGCCATCCATGAAGATTATTTGACCCTACCCTACCTGGGAGCTGAGAAGAAAATTTTTGAAGTTTTAATCAATTTGACCATTTATGGCCACGCCCCTCAGGTCCCTAGGGGTCAGGTACTACATAATTTACAATTTTTGTGGAAAGTTTTTAAAAAAATTTCATTGAAATTGGTTCATGAAATTTTCAGAAGAAGTAAAAAGTTTATGATGCCGGACAAAAGGGGATCGTAAAAGGTCACCTTGAGACTTTGTCTCAGGTCACCTAAAAACCCAAATATTTATCATCTTATTGTTCTCATCAAAATGTTACATTCAACTGCCTATATTAAAGCATACCATTTACCTACTAGAGTTCTAATCAATTTAAAGCAATCAGCTCCCTATACTAAAGTTAAATCTGCATATAATACCCACAACACTTAAGATACAGTCACTAACACTATAACATGTAAAGTATTATTGCCATACCTAGATTGTCATTTGTTTCCTCCTCTCTACCACTACCAGTAACTGGCTGTAGAATCTGCTGCTGCCTTGATGCCTGTCCATAACCTTGACTCTCAACTGGTTTCCTTGAGCCTGCCATAAATCTACTGTCAAGATCATCTTCTTCCATCCCAAACCCAGATGTGTCAGCTTTTCTGCGGCCTGCTTCTGCTCCCATAGGGGAACCTTGATTTTCCATGGCCTGCTTCAGTCGACTTGATGTCTCTGCTGGTTCAGGTCGAGTATTTGTGTCCTCTTTTTTGGTAGACCACCAGTTCTTTATTCCCCCAAAAACACTTTTGATAGAATTTAAATGTTTCTGTGTAGTTGTCATATTTTTATCAATATCTGTCACTTTACTTTCTATATTATTGAGCTGCTCACCTTGACGTGTCAGTTCCTGGAAAAGACATATATTTACATCGAAAATTAAAATGAACTCAGAGATAGGTAATTTGACAAAAAATGTCTAATACATTTAATTGGAAAGTGTCCTACTTAAAAGCCCATGAAAGTGAAACACAATATGCTTCTCTGCATAACCATATATCCTTACATGTGCTATTTCTTGTAATTTCCCTGCAGGTAGAATGCATGAAATGTGCTTGATACCCACTGCATGACCATAAGATTTTTTTTCTTCACTAAATAACATGTCACAAATATCCCTCTTCATACTCATTTTTAGCCATTGGAGTGCAATAAGCTAGCCAAGAGAAGTCAGCTGTGAAGTAATGGAAAATACCCTGAAACTGCTGGGGTTCAAACTAGTGACCCTTTGATCTCTAACCAAACACTTAATCACACGCTCAACTAAATGGAAATTCCCACTAGCTGACACTAGAAAGGCACCTATACACTCAACTTCTACAGAAGAATAATATATGACGCACAACTTTTTTAACATATTCTTCTTTAAATATTGGCTACTTCTTCACAAATCCTTATATCCGTCTCCTCGTTATTGTAGATATCGACTACAATAGTCGTACTCTTTTTTTATTCTTTGAATCTGCTTAAATAGAACCAGAAAACTCATAATACATTATTTTTATTTTTTGTCATATCTATACATTACGCAGGTAAAATTTGTACTAATAAAGATAATTTACAGTAGTGATTGGCTTAAAAATTATGTGAGCGGATGGGAATTGTTCGTCCCCAAATTTCGTTTGATGTGTCAAATATCCAATTTATATCCAACCACATGCATTTCATCTGGAAGGTAAACAACCCGAAAAAAATCAACTGTCCACAACACACAATACTCGAGTGTGTAATGTGTTGTGGATTCTTCCTTTTACTGTTTCTGTTGTGGACTGATTTTTACTCGGATGATGTAATTAATTATAACCTAGCAAATGACAAACCTCAGCTGTCGCGACTCCCATTCTCTCAGAATCGTATAAGCTACTCAAGGCTCTCCGCGTGCTTTCAAGCTGTCGGTCCTCTGAAGCATTAATTTGTTCCAAAATGTTTCTTCTTCCATCTTCTATTTCTCCGTATCCACGATTTGAAGGGCCCATTGGGCCGCTTAATTCGTCTTCTTCAAGGAACGGGTTAGCCATTTTGTTCCTGTTTCGATGTTGTGTCATGTGATCGCTCGTACTTTTCTACCTTCTTCGACAGAAGAGGTTATATTTTATATACAAAACCACGTGGTCGTGAACAGCTGAAATGTCATAAACTTTAAATAATGATGACTCGGAAGTGATTCATGGATCTACTACAAATCACAATATTTTTGTTTTGTCTTTGTGAATAGATTTGTGTGTCACAGATAGCTTTGTGTGTCATAGATACCGACCCACGCATGCTTCGGTACAAAACTTGCAGGCCAGATGACATGATTTAAACATATCATATTATTAGTATTAGATAGGGCCTAAATGGATCAGAGACAAATATGAAATATGAAGATAAGTAATTCGTAGACGAACAATTGTAAGTTTAAATCATTTTGTCAAAAGGAGGAAAAGATGAGATGATAGGACAGAAAGAAAAGAAGAGAAAAAGAGATAGTATAGATTTTATATCAATTTTATATCAATTCTGTGCCGACTACAAACAGTTCATAATTAGGTAGTGTTAAAACGCTTTGTTTTATAAACTTCTGAACATATTTAACAATATTAAATTTTGTTTCATATGAGTAAACATCACTGTCGCCCCATAAGATAGTTTCTATATTAAAGTGTACGTCAAAATCATACAAAATATCAAACAATATGCGTCTACAATTAGAAATCAAAGTACGGAAAGGCTAAACGCATTGAAAAATGTTCACAAATAACCGCAAAGCTATATTACTTTCCCCATACTCCTACACTTTGGAATGCAAAAATTACTAAAATAAGAGAACCAGAGGCTATTTTTCTTAATCTTAAGCGATTTTATATCGCCAACAAGCCAAATGATAAATAGCTCTATGATGAAGTTGACTAAATAAAACCTTTGAAATACCAAAGATTTTGCAATTACTATCCTATCAATATGAGGATTTAGACAAATCGAAAGGACTTTATACCTACTTCTTTATTTTGAATATATTGCAAAGTAATAGTCCTTACTTGTTGTAATTATATTTGTAGTTGAGGAAAGTAGATAAGGTGTACACAGCATTTCAGATAGATTAAAGTGTAAGTAATTACAATACATGTATTTACATGCCTATCTTCCTTGAAGTATCATGGTTAGACTTTTCTTCCAGTAATTATGTCTATGAATACATAGTTCTTTGAGATTAAACCAGACTTCCATATATATAAAATTTACAATATTTTCACTATAGCTACTACTATTTCTGATCTCCAATGCATTAGAAAATGTCACCATGACACGCTAAATGAATAAACATGTTATGGAAATATTTCGTTCTAGTTAATTGATAATAAATAAACATGAATATTTTTTTAAACGCGCTTTGTTTGAAGGAATATTTTCATTTCAAGGAACTTTGATACACATTAACAAACCTTGAGAAATCAGCACAATCAACCTTCATGAAATAAAACTAAAAGACAAAAAATGTAAGTTATAACAGAGTCAACATCATGATCAGTACAGTATTAAAAATAAAGTATTCATAAATCATGAGCACCAAATGAACCTTGCCTACGAAGCGCAAACTTTTTATCTTCCAAAACTTGAAAAAGTGTCATGGCAGTGGGTGTGAAAAACCTGAAAAAAGTGTCATATCGGCGGGTGTGCGCGTGGGACGAACAGTCCAATTAGGTGACGTCTAATGAGGTAAAGTGATGTTATATATGTAACCCTGGTAAAATACTAGCCGCAATATACCACTCGGCTAGAGAGAACTTCTCTTTAGCACGATTGGTTGAGCGTCAGACTAGTTCGAGGCCTAGCAGAGGCTTTGAGATGAAAAATGACCTCTGTTACATATATTAAGAAGATCTTGCCACAACGACAAGGATTAAAACAAAATTAATGTTCTGTTTGTAAGTTTTGTTTGTTTATAAGTGCTGTTAGTTGATAATTCAAACCAAGTCTCAGACTAGCTTCTAATCAACTCGCACGTACAGTGTTCTGTACGCTTACGTCATGTCGAGAATCTCGTAAGATTTATTGTTCAAAATTTATCAATAGTTCAACCACACTGTGCCTCTCTTTTTTTAAATATATACTCAACAAAAAAAGAAAGGTTAACATGTTTCCTTGGCGAATACCTGTAAATGAGTGAAAACAAAATGACGTTTGTGCAATATTAGAAAATGGTAATGTGTTACATTACAAAATCCAAGGGGGTTACCAAAATCATTCAAGCGTGAAAGTCTGTATTAGCGAAAGAGCTGCATCATTTACAAACAGATTCCTAGACATTGCCGGGGAATGCATACCGACAAAAACTGTTACCATCCGACCTAACGACAAGCCCTGGTTCAATTCGGAATTACGACGTGAAATTAGGAAAAGAAACAGACTACTAAAAAAATTTAAAACTAACCGCACTCCAGGCAATCTGACTAACTTCCGAAAACAACGTAATCATGTTAATAATTTAAAGAAAAGTACTAAAGAAAATTTCTATGCGGACATAAATGGTATTTTAGATCTTATTCTGACTCGAACCCCAGAAATTTTTGGAAAATTGTCCGCAGACTTCTAAAAACATCTGACTCAACAAATAACATACCTCCCCTTATTAGCAATTTTGGAAATCTTGAAATGACAGATGAAGGTAAAGCCAATATTCTAAATGATTACTTTGTTTCCATTTCTACCATTGACGATACTGACATTGACATACCAGAAATAGAGCTACGGACGGACGCTACTCTATCAGATATACCATTTCAATTAGACATTACTGACATTCTAAAATCTTTACATGTTAATAAAGCTGTTGGCAGTGATACAATAAGTCACATTATGTTAAAAAAATACTGCAGAGTCGATAGCATATCCATTATCTCTAATTTTTAGATCTTCCTTGGATACTGGTATCTTTCCGTCACAATGGAAACTAGCTTTAATTATGCCATTATACAAAAAGGGAATAAAAATGAGTCTTCTAATTATAGACCAATAGCTCTTCTCAGTACTCTTGGCAAAGTTTTTGAACGTTTGGTTGTAAAATATCTAAATAACTTTTTACTTGATAATTCTTTGATTTTTAAATACCAGTCAGGTTTCCAGCCTGGTCATTCTACTGTTCATCAAATTATTGAAATTTATCATACATTATGTGAAAATATGGAAAATGTTGAGTCAACATGTTTAGTTTTTTGTGATATTTCTAAGGCGTTCGACAGGGTATGGCACAAGGGACTGAATGTGAAATTAGAAAATCATGGTATATGTGGAAAACTTTTAGTTTGGCTGAACAACTATGTCAGTAACAGAAAACAGCAAGTTTGTGTAGGAAATAGTAAGTCTTCCGTTAAATCTACAAGTTCAGGTGTTCCACAAGGTTCAGTATTAGGCCCCTTACTCTTTATTTTGTATATAAATGATATAGCTGATAACCTTGAAAGTCTTTCTAAACTGTTTGCCGATGATACTTCATTATTATGTTCCGGTACTTCCCTTTTGGACATTGAAACTAAAATTAATAACGACCTAGCTAAAATTCAACATTGGGCAGAAAAGTGGCTTGTTAAATTTAATCCCCTAAAACCGGAAGCCTTACTTATTTCAAACATCGAAGATCGCGGCATTATTTACGCAGAAAATTGCCGCTAGAGTTTACCCTCTTATACCAGTAGAGAATCACTGTATTCTGAGAGTGGTCTAGAACCATTATCAGAAAGACGCACTAGAAGAAAACTACAGCTTTTCTACAAAATAGTTAATAATCTCACTTCAAATTATCTGTCTACTCTATTGGCTCTAACTCTTTTCGATATTTCAGCCAATGAGAAGGCCAGTATCGGTAAATTTTGTCTGAAAGACCGTCGCAATAGGCTTTGCGTACTGAGTACGTTTAGCCTAAAAATGATGACATCGCATGTGATATTTATTTGTTCACGCTTACATATAGTTAACACAGTTAAAAATAAGGTTTCCTACACAGTAAACATTAGGTCAATATATCATGTATATAAATATCAAATTCGTTCGCTGAAAGGACGTAATGGTGGATGTACAATCAGTTCAATAAGAGCGACAGATCTAGAAACACAAAGAGAAACTTAAATTAGAGTTTAAAGACAAATACAGCCTCACCGTAAAACTGATTAAAACATATGTAATTATAAGATGGGGAAAATATATTTCTTGTGACCATTGTAGTTACATCGTGAGATTTTACCAATCTGGTGCTAACTTCCCTAGAACTGATACTGATTAGGGGATATTATATGTAAAATACTAATATGAACGTACATGATTGGTAAGGATTTATTAAGGGGTTAATTAATTAAGTAATCGTATTGTAAATAAAAAATAAACTAATTTTGGATGCTTTTAAAATATCGATTTGAAAGATCGCCGATCCGTCAGTAATTATGTTTTCAAAATCTTCAGTACGTCGTAAACTTTTTAGAAAAAAACTGGATTAAAAATAAACTTTACGGGATGCACGCAAATAAAATGAAATAAGTTAAAGACACTTAAATATTTTTGAAATGTGTAATATTAATATGGCTAGTCCGAATATTCTTGTTCTCTCGAATTCTTCTGGCGTCGACGAAATGTTAGAATAATTCAGGCTGCAGCCACCTGTGAGCACACAAAAGGAATCCATGTGTTCCCCATCAACACTGTTATCTTATTTACTGAATTCCGTATTTACATATAGATCTCTTCCGTTTTTCCTTTCGTATTTTAGACTCAGTTTAAGAAAACTGTGATTTCTGAGTAAATACCAAATAAATATCCTACCCTTTATTGTTTCTATTTCAAAATGAAAACTAGGTAAACAATTTTCGTGAAATAGTTCCATCAGAATATGCCCATTATCTATATGCCAATTTAAGGTTGGCATAGTTCTATGCATGTATGTGGCAGCTGATCATCTTTCTAATACTATATAAACCAATGTATAGTATACCTGAGGTACCCAGTCGTTCTTCTCATGCGAGACAGACCAAGGGACCTCTTCCGTAATCTGGTAGCAGCGGAGTTCAAATATTTGGTGGGAATTAAAAACCTGCGCTCAATTTGACAGCACACCAATCAAAACAGGCCTGAATCATGAATCAAATCGCCCTGCTATACCAGCAGATTTAGGTAAGAAGAGTCTCGTACAAAAAAGGCCGTATACATTCGACAAGTACACCAAAGATAGATTGCCGGAATTCTTTAATTCCAACGGCCTAACCTTAAGAAAATAACTTGTGTATTACTAGTTGGCGAACTGCCAACATCCTAGGTAGATCACAAGAACTGCCTACATCACAAGTAATGTACACAAATTGATGTTGATTTCTGTCATTATGAATGCCAAGTGGACATAAAGCCGGATTTATAATGAAGTAGTGTGAACAGACGGATGCTTAATGGGAGCAACAGAGTGTTGGCGTCGACTTCATATTTTTCTTAATGAAAAGAAAACAACCAACTTAAGATTGGCAATTTTCGGAAGGAGAAATATATAGATACACCTCTCAACTATTATCCTTCAAGACTAGCAAAACCAAGTAGAAATAATTTTCCTTCACTACACTCAAAAGAATTTGAACCGAACTTCAAATTAAGCTTACTTCATGGAGCGAAATATATGGAAACAGAATTTCGAAGTCTTCGCTGCCTTTACAAATCCCCCTGCGCAAAAATGTTTATCTTACTGCGACATTATTTTCAATAGTCTGAAAATTATATACATGTTCAGAAAAATATTCCGCTTGAAAACTTTGTGTTACGCATATCATATATTGCTGTTTCAAACCAGAAGAATAAGAGCCTTCAAGTTTGATTAATTGCTTGGCAAAAAACATTATTTGAACAATTGAACAGATATTTTCTTTGTAAAAAATGTAAACAATCTTGTTCCAAGATCGTTTGTTTTCCTTTCACAAGTGCTTGACATTTCCCTTTGTCCACATTTTGCCTTAATTTTATTGAATTTGAGTTTGGATTATGATTCTGTTCACGTGTTCTTGATGTCACGGAAGGTACACTGAAGGGTAAACGTTAGTTTAAAATCAGGAACAATTTACAAAACTGTCTGGATCAGTGTTGTACATCGTTTTATAAGTATATGACATATCTCTGTCATTGCTCTGGTGTTGAGATGGGACATTGTAATAATCCAACTGGACATCCTCTTCATCCACCAACGCTTCTTTTCTCGTCTTCCGTAGGATGGCAATCCTATTGGCAGCTGCAGAATTATCAGGATTTTGTCGACACGAGTCTTCAAACGCCTTGATTGCCTGTCTTGTGTCCCCCAGCAGTTGGTGACATATCCCGACCAGGTTGTGTATAGTGGGATATATAGATATTCTGCAGTTTGGATTTGTCCGTGCAGCCAGGAGATCATCTAGGATGATCCGGGACTGATCAGTTTTACCTTGTCTGTAGGTAGACAACACAAGGAGGAAGATGGCATAAGGCAGTGGTGGAAGTGTGATAAAGGTTTTATCTGCTTCAATCTCCAAGTCTAGTTCTGCTGGATACAGTCTATTGTACCTTTTATGCATTGAATATAATGTCAGAAAAGAACGTTTCGCTTTCTGTAATGTTGTGTATCCTTTACCACACATTTCCTTACAATATGCATGAAAATTGGCTTGTGGATTTAACTGTATCACCGTGCGTTGCTGACAGGCGAAAACCACGTGTCTGGCTACTTCGTAGGCCTTATCATAACAACCAACATTGTAGTAAAATGTGGCCAGCGATAAGTATCCACTACAGACGTCTGTAGCTGACGACACGTGAAGTAGGCGTTTGTATCTTCTGGTCTGGCTATAGACAGATTTGTTGCTCCCGACAACATAGTTCTGAATGTGGTCTGTGATGCCGTTTCTGGAATTATTTGTAATGGCACTCATAAGGTAAAGCAAAATGCTGTCAGTTATTATGTCATCTTGAATATCTAAAAACGCCGTTTGTGCCAATATCAACAGAGACGCGACATCGTAGAATCCTACAGTGCCATACTGTACAGCAATCAGTAAGTCTCCATTACATTCCGCTAAGACAGCCGATTGATTCGAGTCCGACGGATAATCTGAACGACTATTGTAAATAGTTTGTGGCAAGGACCGGAGTATCGGACACAGAAACAAGCAGTTCCATCCCATATGTCGATATTTACTCAGCACCTGGATTAGCCTTTTCCTGTTGTCTCCAGTAACGTTAGAAAGAAACATGTTGTGAGAGAGAATGAAGTAGTTAGGTAGATATCCGGTTTGTATACACTCCATAAGTATTGTAAAGCAATACCAAAAACACTGGATAAGATTTTCGTCCACCCACATAGAAGGTCTGGAATGTTCTATCGCATGGAACACAATTGTCTTCATAAAGTAAGAACAGAGCAAATGTTCAATGAATGGATCACGTTCAATGCACTCTTTAAGAAACATTTTAAGTAAACCGTATGTTTTCAGCTGCACATGATTGAAGGACAACACTAGAAAAACTTCGGCGGCTACAAATGAGATCCTCCACTGCATTGCAAAGAGATTGGAATGCTTGTCACCAATGGCAACAAGGTGACAGCCGTTCCGAATAATATCAAGGACCAATTTTCTGGATGGCCAGACACAATGTTTGGTGCGGTATCTGAAGTTACTGAGACTATCAGGCCATGAACGACAGTGGAAACTAAACGCAAGATCGGAGTCTCCCGTGTAATCATCAGGCAAAGTTGAACAAGGCCCATGTAGGTAACATCCGGGCAACAGATAATTACTCACATATACGACACTAGACAGATACCTAGAACCGTCCACTTCTATCAAAGCGTCAATTAATTCTTGTTCCGCATTCTCTCCTACTTGATGAAGTTTGAGTAAGGTATACCCAGATCTACAGTTGGTGTAGTCCGTGACAAGAATAGTTTTCGTTTGGTCTTCCTCTGGTATACTATCATGTTGCTGAATAATTGCAACATCCTGTATAGTTATCATTTGGTCAGTGTCGGAGTTACGAAAACAGAAACCTTCTCCTTTAGAACCAGTAACCATTCTGCTGTTCTTTTTACGGACTTCGGGACCTCCGGTGAGATAAGTTAAAAAATAAATTGATTGTCTGATTTTGACCACTTCCTCCGGACCTATTTCAGTAATGTTATCAAGATGATGCGAAAGAAATCTGGACACTTTCCGTATGTCAGTCCTTTCCATGTTTATTCGGGACTTCCTGATAAATCGTCAGTGAATTTTCGACCTGAAACAAAACTTAAAATATTATATTATGTAGTATTACATAGAATTTTTATTACGGAATGTGTGTAGGAAATAAGAAACGGATAAAGGGTCCAATATGTTGTAAAAGGGGTAATGGGTTGGGGGTTGAGAACACTAGTAATCGATCGTTATTTTGTTAATTTAAACAAATATGTTATTGACACTTTTTGACCCGGAAGGAAGCCAACAGAAAGTACAGAAAAGCGACGTGTAAGATATATGTTTAGGTGACTTTACAGTAATCATCCGACGTTGAGAATCTTTTATTTTAATTACTGAATTAAAACACTAAAAATGTTCCATTTGTATTTTGGCACATAGTGCGTCCAATTTGGATTTTCCCAATGGTTTTTCCATCCGAGAAGAACAGCTATATGTTCACAATATCATTTCACTTTAGCGTATCCGGTGCTTAATGTGAATTGACAAGTGCCGCTTACTTGTATTTTGTAAAATCTTTTTATTGAACTTTTATCTCCTAAGGCAGAATCTTGATTGTACCATCTCTTAAAAAATAAAATTAATTATTTTTGCAAGAAAAATATAGGATTTTACCCTTGAAGGAACCAATATGACACTCTCCCTTAAAAAAAACCCCAAAAAACCTAAAAAAAACCCTTTAAAATGCCAACCCATCAATACATACTCTCAGTAAGTGATCCTGAACAATGATAAAAAAAACTTTATTTATTTTACAACAATTGCGAAACAAGTTTTTCCAACTTATATTAATTACTCTTGTTGGCTCGGTTGGAAGCGCGCGAGGGGTCTTATTAAACACATGTCACCATGACTACCAGGGTCACATATAGGTACATACAATGTACTTATGATATACTGATCCAGATTTTGACAATTTTAAGGAATTAATTATTTTGTTTAGTTAATTCCACTATAAAACATTATAAGTCTATACATTACGGACATATGTTCAAATGCATAACTGTCTTTGAAAATTTCTGTTTTGGTAATGAAGACAAAAATTGTCAATCATGTTCTAAAATCTGGTCTGTTCAACTAGCATAATTGTCTTCAAAACCATTTTTCCGTTATTTGGGACCTTTAAAGGGATAATCATCCATTAAAAAAAACATAATTTAAGGCTTTGACATAGGTACGTTAAAATAACCAAGTGAAAAAGCATAATTCTCTATACTATTTTTTAAAATTACGATCGATTATACTGCTGGTTGTGTTGTGAAATGGCATTGTATTTTAAGTACAGGTCCGTACACCTGTTACCTGTGTTACCATACGACTGATTCCGAAATCCCACAGTCACCGCCTCTAAGCGACAAGTTTGACAAGCGAAGGGGGCCGAGCATGCTTCAGACCAATACAGACGCTTCTGCCCGCCTGTATATTGTAATATAGTAATAGGTTTACAACAGTGATTTGCACTTTAAAAAAGCACAAGGAGAGCCTAGTGTCAGGCCTGCCCTTTTCAATGTTTCGTTACCAGTAAATAAATCCGTTTCAAAAGTTTTATTAAGAGTCTGACATCAACACATTATCTTTTTCCAAACTTTGTTGAGCCACATCTCGGAAGCATGCTGGCCAAATATTATGATTATAGGTCTTCCGGTTAACCAGGAAATGATAGAAGGACCCTCGTGACAGGTTGGGGTTGGATCAAGGTAATTTCCGATCACATACTGGGACTTAGCTTTTATTTATGGGTTGATTTTGCCAAGTATCACCAAACAGTTCCTACATCAAGTTATTTAAAGAAAAATGCCGATGGATAACAGCGAGATGACGGCGGACGCCACACCATGTTTTCAGCTTACAGACAGATCAGCTGAAAATTGATCACACAAACTTTGTCGGCCCTCTTCTCTTCACGGTTCTTTGTGTTGATGAGTAGAATTTTAGTTTTTAACTTTGTGACCTTTGTCACGAAGTAGTGACAATATAATACAATTGTTGGTTAAGTGAGTTATTTTTATTTATAAAACTGTTTAATGGTATTTTTGTATGGATAGGAAAATGTTAGGTTATTTACGGTAATTTAACTTTGAGACAAAATTATGTATAACATATTTGTTCACTACATACATTACGGTATGTTATGGGGCTCAAGTATATTACAGCAGGGCAGTCTACTTATATATGATTGGTCAGTGCTCAGAATGTTAACCAATCAGAGCACACCTTACACTGGGTTGGGGAAGCACATGGAGAGATCATGGCGAGAGAAGGACGGCCAGATTTGTGGGCCAAAAAGTCCAAAATAATGTAGGGTTAAAGGGGTAACGGGACATTCCCAGGGATGAGTCCGGATCTTTTAATCATGTGTTCTTCATTGATAATAGTTGCTCAAGCTGTCATTCCATATTTTTGTATATTTTGAATAATTTGACTTGGTGAAACAGCGGTGTAAATTTCAGGCTAGAAAATCTATTGTACTGTATTTTGCAGTAATGTAATGGCTACTAAGTGGCAATAGGAGTAAATGATAGTACTAAGGAAATGTTTCTTTAGCTTGACAAGGTATGTTAGAAGCTATTTTTCTGTAGTGTAAGTGGCAAAAGTGAGTTTAATGCTTGACTGCCGAACTGTGGTGTGCTGTATTGTCTTTGGTCACGGCACAGTAGTGAGAAATTGTATTGTTTCATTTATACAGTTCAATGACATGACCAGTTAGACAGTAGTAGGCTCAGGCTGATGCTGCAGCCTCGACGCCTGGATATGGGAGGACACATACCCGTCCGGTGACCAGCGGCGTTCCGGAGTGCCTTACTCGTGAAATTCCTCGTCGTCAGCTTGTATCGCACATGACTAGTCCTCGGACGGCTGGACAGCTTCGGGACAGACGTCGACGCATACCAACGCATTAGACAGCTGTTGTGTAGAGCACTTTCGGGCTGTGTCAACCTGTTAGAACTTTGTGTTTCGTACGGTAATGTAATGTGTGATGCCGAACTGTGAACTGTCTGCGTACAAGTGTACCGGAAGTAGCAGTGTTGCTGAACTTTGGTAATGTTTACATTATCAGCTGATTAGTGACATTTTAGTACTTCTCAGTGGTTTAAGAGTCATTGATGATTTAGGATGAACTGTACTGTATATTTGCATTAACAGCAATGATGAATTTGCTTACGTTTAGAAACGTATGAAATGTATGAAATGTATAAGTGAACTTTAAATATACTTCAAATTTAGTGTAAATTTGAATCGACTTCTGAAACCTTGAAATTACTTGAAAATTATTCTTCTAGTCAAATACCTGGTGTAGTGTGTAGTAGTGTGAGGGATCCCTACCAAACTGTAATATGTTAGTGTTGAACTTGTGTGCTATGTCTCTAATTGTTATTGTGTAAATAAATTGTTAAGTTTACACCTTTCTTCTTAGTTGTCTGTTGGTAGCTTCCAGGTCAATAAGGTGTTCGCCCTCGGGCATGTGATAACCTTGAATATGGGTAAAGTTCTTCCAAGGAACCTATATTCAGATCTCCATGATGTTTCTACCACTTTTAGGTTATTAGAATAATTCGTTTGTGTGCTTTAACAAACCAGATCTCTTTTGTGGTGTGTCAAGGTACATTATTTTCCCAAGTTGTTCAGCTTGATTGCAGGATTCTTTATATATCCTCAATAAATCACAATTCTTAGCTTTTCGGTTAATTAGAAGTCGAAAGCATTGACAAATTGGATCCTTGATCTTGAATATAGTCCGAGTTCATATCGTTTGGCTAACTAACTTTGGGAGCGAATATACAAGCCAAATATGACCATTTACCCATGAGAGATTGCATATTAGTCACGGTCGTTTCTTTTCACAACTTCTTCAGGCTTCATCCTTAAAACCAATGAACAAAATATCATGGCTTTATCCTTAAAGTCCCACAAGAATAATTCATTGAAAGAAACAGATGGTGTTGGGTGGATGGATGGACGGAAAGATAGAAGACGGACCCTGCGCCACTGCATAAGTTCAATTGCTCATTGTGGAACATGCTACTGAATGCAATCAGACATGTCGTTATTGTTCTCAGTGATATGATAAATCTTCTTTTAAGAATCTTACCTTACTGACACTGATCCCAATTCATGGAATTTGAACTCGCTAGATGATCTAGCATTTCTTGTGATTTGATGGAAATTCTTGTAAAGGCATTCTTGTGCTGTCTTAAACTCATACGCCTTCTTCCCATGTCGAGGTCACATCACATAAATGTGAACGATACTCGCTCCGGAACTTATTTTGGCAATTTTTACAAAAGCTGTAATCGAATTGAAGAGAAAACACGTGACCGTGAGTAAAGATAACGACTCGCTTATCAAACCTCGTGATTCATGATACACTTATGTTTCACTTAACTATGATAACACGAGATTTGTAATATACAATTTGACCAAATTCACCTAAAGCAAATGAATTATTGATAACGTTGTCTCTCGATACGTGCACATTATCGCTGATAACATAAACTTCAACTAGCAGGTTGTCAAACCAGGTCATTCAGGTCTGTGCAAACTACTCCTCTTTTAGCAAATCGATATCGTGCAAAGGCGGAAGATGTATGTCGCGTACGCGTAGTATGAAAGCCCGTTCGTCAAGAACGCGTAGTATGAAAGTCCATTCGTCAAGAACGCGTAGTATGAAAGTCCGTTCGTCAAGAACGCGTAGTATGAAAACCCGTTTGTCACATACGCGTAGTATGAAAGCCCGTTCGTCAAGAACGTGTAGTATGAAAGCCCGTGCGTCAAGAACGCGTAGTATGAAAGTCCGTTTGTCAGGTACTCGCAGTATGAAAGCCCGTGCGTCAAGAACGCGTAGTATGAAAGTCCGTTTGTCAGGTACTCGTAGTATGAAAGCCTGTTCGTCAAGAACGCGTAGTATGAAAACCCGTTTGTCACGTACGAGTAGTATGAAAGCCCGTTCGTCAAGAACGCGTAGTATGAAAGCCCGTGCGTCAAGAACGCGTAGTATGAAAGCC